GTTCTTCTAGTATCGATACCTAAACCCAATTATCACCTATTTTTACTTTGAAGTATCGGTATTGTTCATCTAGTACCGATACCCCTTGCCCAAAACTTACTTATTTTAACCCGAAAATTTACCAAACTCACTTAACTCTTCCACTTTGACCTCTTTTCAGCCCTTTAAACTTAACTAAACTTATTAAAACTAACTTATATCACTTTAATAAACTTAAACATCCAATATCTCACTAGATCACTTGAAACTAAAAATCATACCCAAGAATTATCATGCCTCAAATTTGTAACTAAAACTTTAGTTTTCTTATTTCAACTTATGACAAGTCAAATTTCACTTCAAAATCTATTTATTAACTATTTCTCATCAATTCCCTTAAAAACCCCTTTACTTTAATCACCCATAACTTGTAATTCTTTTAGTTTGTACTTCTCTTTAAGCTTTCCGAACACTCGAACAATCAAAACCACTCATGAATTTCAAGAAATAACCAACTGGGAAAATTCTTACCTTAACCAAGCACTCACGGTGGAAGAAGAAGAAGAAGAAGAAGAAGAAGAAGAAGAGACTAAGTTTCCAGATTTTTATTTCCATTCCTATCATCCTCCACATGCTTATATTATACCCAAAATGAATTTTAAATTCATTTCCTTTGTCAAATGACCATTATACCCTTCTATCCTTATATCTTTATCAATCAATCCTACATAATTAATTTTCAATTTAATCTCTAAACTTTTCAATTTATCAAAATTGACCATAAAATTTCAAAATCGTATATTTTGGTCACAACCCAATTTTTGGGATGTTACAATACTGTTAGTTCCCATATGTTTTTTTGTTATTTCTCTTCGATACACGAACAATCCAGTTGCATCCGTTATCACGTTGGACAGAGTAGTAAATATACTTTTCGGTGATGGATCAGTCGACTCTGGAGTGAACAGAATTACGAATATTTTAATTCTTAATTGCAATCATCGCTTCTTCTTTGGATGAAAACTCCATTTCGATATATAACTCACCATCATTGATTGACGAGTTAAATTCGCAGTCACCAACATTAGGCATATCTGTAAATTTTGGCCTGTACATTGCACTATAGTAGTTTCATACATGTCTGCTAGAGGTTTCGTGTATACCGTATTTGTGGGAACTTCATCTACATCATAATCATCAGAGTCCGTGTTGAACTATGATAATTCTGGCTCAACAAATAGTTCAGTCTCAGCACCATCCGCACCTAGCTCACGAAGAGGTTATTCTAGTGGAGATGAGGGCTCTTATGTGATGCCAATATTTAGGTCTAACAAGCTGGTAGTTGAATTCCTTCCCCTTGAACTTGAAGGCATCATGTCATATGGGTTTTGAACTGAGTGTTGTGTCGTAAGCATCTCCACATTGAGGTCGAAGAAACTCGCAGTTGAATGTCTCCCCTGGAACTTGAAGGCATCGTGTCAAATGGGTACTGAACAGATTGTTGTGTCGAGGGCATATCCACATTTAGGTCAAAGAAATTGGTAGATGAATGCCTTCCCCTTGAACTGGAAGCGATGTTTCCATATAGATTGTTCGTGGAGCCACCTTGGTGGAGATCGTAACAAGTTAGTGATGAATGTCTCCCCATTGAACTTGACGGGATAGTACTAGGATGTGGATTTCCCATTAACGAGTTAAAATTATTACACATTACTTGAGTTGGGATATCAACTTGATTAGCTTGTTGAGCCAACCCATAGTGGGAGTATAATGACATACCACGAACCGTAGACACTTCAACAAATGTGGCATTTATATGTGTATCAGCATCTGAATTTTGATTATGAGCATCAACCATCATAGCAACATCGTCATCGTTGGAGAGTTCAAATGATGTATAAGTTAACAAAAATAGTGCAGTTGGAAATCTGTACTAAAGTGATGTCAATCTTCTAGTACTTCCAACATGAACCTTCCTTGAAATTTTAGTGATTAGCTCCTCAAGAGTGATGTTTTTCTTAAAAGGTATTTTAACAGAATGATTTGATACGAAGACAATGCCGATTTCTTCCCAAATTTCTTTATCATAGTAAACAATAGCTGAAATACGTCTCATTTTGAGAGTTTGAAAGATTGATAGTCATATATCTGCAAAAACAATAATTGAAATACACCTAATTAAATAAATGGTATATGGATTAAAATATAAACTAATGTTAAAAAATTAAAAAAATCACAATAATTTAAATAACACATTTTAATATTGTTACCGTATTGACAAAATGTCTAGAGATATGATCCCGCCTTCCATTTTACAACCGCAATAAAAATAGAAAATAACTAGTATAATAAAATTTGGTTAAATAATTAAATAAAAATAAATATAACATAATAAAAAATAATTTTACCTTCTGAAAACTATAACAAAATCTACTTAGCTTGATAGAAGGAAGAATGTGAAAATAATTTTGTTGTGGTTTGATGTTTGCATTCGAGGTATTTATAGGGGAGGGGGATAGGTGGATAGTTGAGATTTAAGGCTCGGGTAATAATGGAGTGCGCAATAATTCAAGGTAAATAATGAAAGGTGTACCTCATGATACGCGAAGGCGCACTTCATGATCCGTGCCTTCCAAAGTGGTGCTAGCTAATACAGAACCCCGCAAAGGCGTGCCTCATGATCCACGCCTTTCCACCGTGGAGTCAACTCGGACAGAACCCTTGAAGGCACACTTCATGATCCGAGCTTTTTCATAAAGGGTGCTAATTCAATAATATTTAGAGAAAAGGTATCTTACATGTAATATTTCGTTGTTATAGCTATTTTTGGGTAAAAACACCAATTATTGTCTAGTATTAAATTGTCCACCTGCTTTTATGTGATAAAGTCTATCAAAAGTTAGTATATTATACATACAAACGAATTTCTTTTAATTTTTTTAATTTTAAGAAGATGTATTTTAATTATTTTATATTTATAAGTCAGTATTTTAATTCAGAATATCAAAGTTATTGTTAGTTGATTTAAATATTATTTTTTAATTTTGAATTTGAGTAAGTTAATTTTTAAAAATATTTTTTAAAATTTAAATAATATTTAAATGTAAAATCAGTTCTTTTTTAACTCTAAATAATATTATCTCCGCTTATAATAATATTACAACTACAAGTTAAAATATAAAAAATGTTTAAGTGAAAATTTACATTGAATTTTATTAGAACTTTTAGATTTAGAGTATGAATAATAGTTTAATTAAAAAAAGATGATACGAAAATTATAAAAAATAATTTTTCAATAATTTTTTAAAAAAAATATAAAAATATTAAAAATTATATAAAAATTTATTTTATTTTAAAAAATATTCAACCAGGACACACATCATGTATTGATAGAAAAAGATCAACACTATCATAAATATTTCTTATCTACTCACTTTTAAAATATACATTGAATAAATTACTCTTTTTCTTAAAGAAGGATCAATTTCTTTAATTTTAAAATATATTTACCAACATTACTCACTTTTCAAACATAAATAAACTAAAATATATTTTATAATAGAAAATTAAAATGAATTTTATTTATTATAAAATAGCTATAATGGGATGACTAAAATAAACCTTTAAATATAATATCATAACTTCTAATAGATTTTAACCTGCTTTTGTACTAAATATAAAAAAAAATCCTTCCATTCATGAGTAGGGATGTAAAACATTAGTCAAAGTTTTGCCTTGTTTATATTTAAGTTCAATTATCCTTAAAAATCCTATTTAATTTCAATTAAGTTCCACTGTAAAAATTAAAATTCCATTTAATTACCCGAACTCAAATTAAGGTTCTAATAATATTTGCGAGTTATTCTAATTAGGGACTAAAAACTTAAATTCGATCAACTTTTAAATTGATGTTGCTCAATTCGATAATGAAATTAAATTTTTGATACAAAGTTCTTATTTAGACCTAGTCATTACTTACATGGCTTACTTCATGCATATATCCCTGAAGATCTTATTGTTATATTCATGTAGCATTGGGTTCATTAGAATTAATTTCACTAACTACCGTTGGTAGAGTTAACGTAGGGTAAAGGAATAGTGAAGCACTAAGAACATGAAAGGATGATATCATGTCACCTCCAAGGCCGACTGCACAAAGCACACTTCCACAATACCAATTACCAACATTATGGCTGAGCTGAAAAATGGCCTCCATTATTTTGCCTTTCTAATCAAAATTTTATTCAAAAATAGAGATAAATTCAGAATTTTATGTTATTAAATTAAATTTTAAAAATTTCAAACACATAATAATAAAAAATATAAATAAAATTAAATTATATAAAAATTAAAAGCTTTTAAAAACACTGTTGCCCATCAACACCCTCGATCAACCCTTACGAACAATCACATGTAATATATATATATATATATATATTATTAATAATTAAACTTTTTTTAAATAAAGATTACTTTATAATTACCTTACATTAAATAAAAAGAATATTAGTTTAGCCCCGTGTCTAGGAGAGACTTTGAAAGCTAAAACATGATGGCTAAACGTGCTAATTTTCGCATTGTAATCAGTGAGGTGAGGCGTTAAATTCCAAGATTCCTCCAAGGCATCCGCTACCCTTCTTGATAACTATGACTCATAAATATATCAATAAAGAGGACATGGGATGAAGCGGAGTGAGTGAACATCAAATGTTCTTACAAAGAAAGTCTCGTAGAGGGGGTTACAATTATGTGGGTTGAGGGTGCGGGGGTGCAGCCACCGCATTACGGTACAAGATTAATTATGTAATTTTGTACCAGGTTTTTTATTATAAATAGAGATGTAACCTAAACCTATGAGACATTGAATAAAATTTCTAGCGCCGCCTAGACACCGAGGACGTAAGCACATTGCCGAACCTCGTTAAAATTCTTGTGTTCTTTCGTTATCTTTGCCCGATTCTTCAACACTTCTCTCTCATCAACTTTTTCCCTCTATATATGCCCCTCTCTTTTGGTGATCTATGCATCAACATAAAGCATTCCCTTCTCTATTTGCCTTGAATCATCTTCTTGTTGCTTCCAAATATTTTCGTGGTTAGTTTCTAATTACATTTCCTTGGGACTTCTATGGCTACTGCAGAGGTAGTGGGTTTGAGCTTGGTTTGGTTTACATTCAATATTTCCTTTGTGTTGATTGCTCATTGTTTATCATTTCATTTGTCATATTTGATCGTGTAGATCGTATCAGTTCAAACTGCACTCCACGAGGAGAAGAAAACTGCAGAATCCATCCAGGTTGAAGAAACTACAACGAATGAGGAAGCTCGTGCAGAAGAACCTATTGCTGAAGAACCAAAGGAAGCAGCATCTGAACAACCTGAAGCTGAAGCCGCGGTTGAAGTTGAATCCAAGCAGGTGGTCGAAGAGGAGACCAAGGCCGTGACCGAGGAGCCACAAGTTGAGAAAGAAGAAGAAGAAGAGGCTCCTAAGGGAACTTCTGAGCCAGTTGCCGAGGAGACAACCGAGCCAACCGAGACAACCATTGAAGAACCTACAGAGTCTACCGAAGCTGCACCGGTGGAAAAACCCAAAGAGGAAGTTGGTAAGGAAGAAGAAAAACCAGCGGAAGCTGAAGCTGAGAAGACCGGGTAATAAGCTTGTAAGATGGGGGTCGATTAGCTAAGTAAGATGGGGGTCGATTAGCTAAGTTTGCATGTGGTAGTCAATTAGTTTCTACGTAGTAGAGTACGGATGTGATAGTATTACGGTTGATGAGGCTTGGACCGTGGGACTGGGGGATTGAAATGACCTAAATGATGGCTTGCCAATTGACTCAACTATATGCGTTGCCGTTGGGCACAAGTAGGCATTTGGGGTTATTTTTTATGCTCGATGCATGGTTTCTGGGACCCAAGCATGTTGTTTTAATTAGTGTCTTTGATGCCTGAAATAATAAATCGTAGTGGTTAATTTGTTTAACATTTTTCCACTGCCCAATTGATTGCTATCTGAATTCTAAGGTCAAGATTTGTTCTTTCGATGTCAGTTAAGAGTAGGGTTAGCAAAATTCTACTTGACTAAACAATATTAAAAAAAATTATTTGGTTTGATATTAAAAATTATAATCCGATTTGATTCGTTCTGTAATTTTATAAACTCTATTTAAAGCGAAACAATATTAAATAACTTGAAAATTTTAATAATTATTATATTTGTTTTCAAGTTCAAGTTGAGTTTCTAAACTCTACCTGATATATGTATGTCACATATAAAAAAATATGATATATATATATGGTTATAAAAAAACCATTTAAATTGAAATCAGATAGTAATATAACATTATAAATATTTACAATTAAATTTATATAGTAACTCAAACAACTTAACTCAAATTTTATAAATTCAACTCAACTAAAAGATATTCAAATAAATTTTGAGCTATTCCAGAGCACGACTCTCCCTGACAAGCGTCGTATAGAGAAGAAAGGGTCGATCTGCAGTGACTTAGAAATTTTTTATATATGTTTGATTTTGATCTTGATCTAAGGAAATTGAAAGAGAAAAAAATAGAAAAAAAGGGTTTAGAAAAATAAGCTGGATAAAGTAAAAATAATTATGTTGAGAGATAGTCTCCAGCTTCGCTCCGCCTCAGTTCGTCTCATTCACTGAAATGAGTTTTACTTCAGGATTCTTGCTGGTTGTAGTCTACAAGGCCTAACCCTTGTAAATGACTATTCTCTCCGGTGAACTAATTTCCCAAAGTCAATCCTTGGAAGTTGGTCCTTATTTCGATTAACAACGGCTATCGATGTTAATGCCAATTAGAAGTGTAAACGAGCCGAGTCGAGCTCGAGTATTGCTGAGCTCGACTTGACTCGAAAACTCTGAAATGAAGCTCGACTCGACTCGAAAACTCGCAAGCCTAAAATTTTTAAACTTGACTCGAACTCAAAATCATGAATTGAAGCTCGTAAAAGCTCGAAATGAAAAAAATCTTAAAATTAACCTGATTGAAGCCTCAAACTCAAACTTGAACCTAAACCTTAAACACATAAAAATCGTATATTGTATTTAAAAAAAAATAAACACATGTTAATATTATTAATAATTTATTTTTAAAAAAAATTAAAATTTTAATATATTATATTTTCGAGCTGCTCACGAGCTTTTCGAGTCGAGCATCAAGTAGCTCATTTCGGATTATGGTGTCTCAATGATGAGTGTATTAAATTGATAATATTTACTTGTCTATTCTTTGATCTTATGGATTTATTACTGTTGATTTGGTTGTGTTATGCTTATTTTTGTGCAGGATCTTACTTTCTAGAATTAGCAGTAAAAAGGGTGCATTCTGCATTTTTTTATTATTTGGTCACGGCTGCATATATGGGCACAACTCTGGGCATGACACGGTCTGACGTGACAGATTCTAGAAGGACCAGTCAGCAGCAATTTTCTAGAAGATCAATTCAACTCCTTTTGGAAGGTGGACGGGTAGAGATATCTTAGGATATTTATTTTTAATTTTAAAATTTGAATTTAGAAAACATTTGGAATTATCTTTAGGATTATTTTTCTTTTAATTTATATGTTTATTTATAGGATTTTAGAGGCTATAAATACCCTCTTGGGTAAGCCTGAACACACAACTCATATTTCATTCTTCTTCTTATTTTTATAAAGTTCTTTATTTTCTTTTCTTTTCAAGTTTTCATTTTTATTTTATTTTAAGTTTTATTTTTAAACATGCTAAGTATGCATTTGTCGTGCTTAGCTAATTTTCTCATAAGCCGAGGGATTAAGCGATGACTCAATTCTAACGTGAGAATTGAAAAGCACTTGAATAACTTCGAAATATCTCTCTCAATCTCTGCGCTTATTTTCAAAATCAAAATAGTTTTCAAAATCAAAGATTGACTTTGTTTAAGATGTTGCTGCGATTAAATGTGTGGGAGGAAGGATCGACTTATTGAAAGCACATTCGACTTCTTGGGAACACACTTGGCGAGATTGCCTTGCCAAGAGGGAAATGAGATCATAATTAGTAGTTATTGAAACAACAATCCGATTCAGTCTTCACGAACTTAAACATTTATTGATCTACGACAATTGATGTTGATCAGATCAATTTCTGAAACCAAAAACAAAGATTGCCTTGGCTATTTGGTATACAAAGTAGAGTCACGAGAATTGGCCTTGTAGACAAAGTAACCGACGTGAATCCCGAAAGGAAAATCTAATTCGATGATCCAAAGGAAATTGAGTCAAAGCGAGGCTTGAGGCTATTTTTACCATATTTATTTTCAAATTACATTCTTTATTTTCTTTAATTTTTTTACTTTAAATCGCTTTTTATTATTTAATCCTTTTTACTAAACCCTTTTTTATCTACTGCATATCGCCTGGTGAAGTCAATTCAAACTGAAATGTAAGAATTTTCTAAGTCCCTGTGGATCGACCCTTACTTCTCTTTACTACGTATTTACTTTATTTATTAATTGAGAATAACGAATTTATTTTGACATCAAAACGATAGTTGTCAAATTGGAGCCATTGCCAGGGAGCTTCGCCAAAGTTAATAATTTTTGTTTGCTTTTGATTTATGACCAAGACAAACCCGGGCGAATTAGTGGAGTACGACCCAAAAATCGAAGCCAAAGCTTGGAGACTTCACGCACATATGCTTAGAGAAAAAATGAGACAACAATTATTTCCAAAATCGAATTTAGAATCAAATTCAAGCAAAGCCGTTAATACCGAACCAAATCCAATGGTCGATCCTACTATTAGAGAGTTAGTCGCAGCTCCTACTGAACAAGAACCTCTGTGCATTGATTTTTCCCAAGGCGAAACTTCATACTAGTTAAAAATTGACCTTATTCATCTCCTCCTTACCTTTCGCGGATTACCAAATGAGAATCCACATAAACATCTTACGGAATTTCACATGGTTTTGCTCCAGCACGAAACCACATGGAGTAACTGAGGACCAAATCAAACTTAGAGCTTTTCCCTTTTTCGCTAAGGAATGGTTATTTTATTTACCCCCCAAATTCTATTACTACATGGAATCAAATGACTCGCCTTTCTTGGCAGGTTTTTCCCTACGGCGAAAGCAAGTGAGTTAAGAAGAATAATACTTGGAATCAAACAAATTGATGGAGAGTCACTCTATGACTACTAGAGAGATTTAAAAAGTTATATGCTAGTTGCCCACATCATGGGTTAACTGAGCAAACACTCATTCAATACTTTATGAAGAATTAATTCCCCTGGAAATGAAGATTATCGATGCTGCCAGCAGAGGAGCTTTAGTGAACATGACTCCTACTGAGGCTAGGGACTTAAGTTCATTTTCCTTAGAAAGTAAGATAGATAAATTAACTGAAGTGGTCAACTCTCTTGTTGCAGGAAAGATAGGACCCAACATATTATGTGGAATATGTGCCTTACCAGATCATCCAACAGACGGTTGTCCACTAATTCAAGATGACACAGCGGCTCAAGTTAATGCAGTGAGGAACTTTCCAGGACCTCCACAGAGGGCTTATAATCCCTATAATAATAATTACAACCCAGGATGAAGGGATCACCCAAATTTCAGTTACACTCAAAACTCAAGGCCAAATCAAGCTTATCAACCAAGGCCACCTCTACCACCCCAACAACCGCAGAAGTCATCATTAGAATCAATTGTTGAAAGATTAGCTATTTCCTAGGAAATATTGTTGTGATTAAATGTGTGGGAGGAAGGATCGGATTATTGAAAGCACATTCGATTCCTGGGAACACACTTGGCAAGATTACCTTGCCAATAGGGAATTGAGATCGAAATTAGTAGTTATTGAAACAACAATCAGAGTCGGTCTTCACGAACTTAAAGGGTTATTGATCTACGACAATTGATGTTGATTAGATCAATTTCTGAAACTGAAATCAAAGATTGCCTTGGGTAAGTGGTATACAAAGTAGAGTCACGAGGATGCCCTTGTAGACAAAATAACCGATGTGAATCCCGAAAGGAAAATCTAATTCGATGATCCGAAGGAAATTGAGTCAAAGCGAGGCTTGAGGCTGTTTTTACCATACTTATTTTCAAATTAAATTCTTTATTTTCTTTGTTTTTACTTTAAATCACTTTTTATTATTTAATCCTTTTTACCAAACCCCCGTTTTTATCTACTACATATTGCCTGGTGAAGACAATTCAAACCGAAATTTAGGAATTTTATAAGTCCCTGTGGATCAACGCTTACTTCTTCAGTACATATTTCCTTTATTTATTAATTGAGAAGAAGGAATTTATTTTGACATCAAAACAAAAGTTGTCACTCAATAAGAGTCCAACCCGATCTCGATTTCCCTTAGCGGACTATTGTTAAGTGTGTTCTTAGGAAGTTGAATTTACTACAAGATGAATCTTCTTCCCAACGGTAAATAAAAACATAGATCAAATCAATGCATGATTTTTGAATTGAAGGTGTCGAGATATGTAAAGGAGAGGTCGATTACCATTCCATGCTTACAGAAAATCGAGAAAGATATCCAAATGTATGAAGTGCTCTTCAATTCTCTCGAAACGGATTGAGTCATCACTTAGTTATTGGCTATTTGATAAATTAGCTATGCTTGATAGAAATCATACTTAGCATGTAAAAGAAAATAGAAGAAAAATAAATGTAGATGGAGAAGAAAATAATCTTTATAGAACTATGAATCCCAAAGCAAGCCAAAAGTAGTACATCTGGAAAGCTTCACCCTAATGGGTATTTATAGCTTGAGATAAAATATAGAAAATAAAATATCAAAAGAAAATAAAATACTTAGAGATAATCCTAAGAACATTCAAATACTTAAATCCTAATTAATAACAATCCAAAATCCTAAATAATAGAGAGATAATTCCTAATTAAAATAATAGTTCTCAAACATTTAAATCCAATTACTCTTTTTC